ATTGAACATGTGATCTATAAAGTCATCTGATCATACAAAGTCATCTGATTTCGCAATAATGAACGCTCTGTCACTTCTGCACTTCGTTGACAGGCTTTTCACAAAAAAGAAGTGATCTGCGTTACACGAATTTGAAAAATCCCTGACTGTAGTGTATACACAGAATCTTATATTTGATTAGATAGTGTGATCATACTTATTCACATGTTACATATAACGTCTTTGTTAAATCAAGTAAAAACTAGATTTATTAAATTATCGTTATATGATGGGTACGATTAGTCATTATCGCGATGATGCTCTTTACATTGGGGGTTGTCGATGTATTATAGATCAAATATACATTAAAATCAAGTCGTGTAACAATCATGATGATTTATAGTAAAATCCTATAAATTTTAACGAAAATTATTAATATTGTTGAAAATTCTTAAAATTAATAAAAAAAAACGCATAGCTCTTTGCAAAAAGATGTGGCCATGTGATTTTTTAATAATGATCAGGGAAATTTCTGAGATTTTAGATGGTATGTTGATTTTATTTTCGATCGGTTACATTTATATTTCTTCGAAATCGATGGAATTCTTAAAATCAAAAGAATCTCTGATTCCCACATGACATCGTGATCTACAGAGGCCACATCTTTCTGCAAGGAGTAATAAAATACAGGTTCGGTAGAACTTATATTTTAAACTAGAAGAGTTTTTATTAAAAAAATCTTTATTAAATTTTTATTTAATTTATTGAAATAATGCTGTGCACATAATTATTAGACAATTACAATCATGAGAAATTTTTGATGAAAAGAGAATTATGTTCAATACATATTTGTAGGCTCTACTATTAAATATACTACAGTGTCCTCCTCTATAATCACGCGGTTTGTTTTATATATAAAAGAAATAGTATTGTGATTATATACACTTTTGGAAAGATACCTATTTGAATCGGTTATATTTTTAGTGCATTTTATTGTCTTGTGCATAATAAGAAATCGTTGGTTGCCTATTTAATGCTTACGACCAGAGTTAAATTGACAGCGCAATAAGAAAGTCTCTCCCTTGTCGTAACAATGTTACGAGCCAATCGATAACTATTTGAAGATTTTTACCATTAACTGATTAAAAATGTAACATATTTATTCAAAATATTATATCATATTTTGCAATAAATAACATTTTCACAATTTTAAAAGTAGCCAATCTAATAAATCCTTGCATAGAAATATCAATTTAAATACACCCAACCTAATAATATTTTCGTCCAAAAATAATAAGTTTAAATACACTCGATCTAATAGTACCTTCGCTTAAAAATAATTTTAAATATACTGACCTAAGAATACAAATAAAATATTATCCTAATAATTATTTTCAATCAATAAAATTTGCACAGGCCTAAGATTCGTACAATAAGTAACTTAAGTTAACTAGTTTTACTAAACTATACATTTATAAATAGTTTTATACAGTTTGGCTTCAGGTGTTTGTCCCTTGACTTCCAATGTTTATCCTTCGTTTATCCCTCGACTTCCGATGTTTGTTTCTTGACTTTCGAGGGTTGTTTCTTGACTTCCGAGGGTTGTTACTTGACATTCGAGGGTTGTTCCTTGTCTTTTGAGGTTTCCGGTTTTGTTACTTGACTTCCTTCGTCACCTTCTATGATAATGTCGGCGAGATCATGTTCCAACCCACATAAAAGACGCCTGATTTCATTATTATGTCTTTGGGTTAATTTCATATCTTCTATCTTAAAAAGAAGATCACTTTTTGTTCTAAATATAATTTTTTTAAAAAGCCTCCAAAAGTTTTCTTTAATATTATATCTATGTATTTTTCTAAAGCTAAGAAACTTCATATTATGCTTTGTTAAATATCTATTAAAGTCACAATTCTTGCTAATAATTTTAATAACAAGTTGCATTGCTTCATCATCATTTTCTGTTTTATATATTTTATATTTTTGATATATACGGCTATCCTTGTTTTCATTTGGAATTTCGTCAGCAATATTCTTGGCAAGATTAATAATGAGTTTTCTCTCAATATTAATGAGATTTTTCTTGTCGTGCTTACTATTTTTAAGATCTTTAAGAATATCATCAAGATTAACATCCTCTTTCGTATGTTTGTTAATTGTCTCATAAAGTTTCTTTTCAAACTCTGAAGGTTTTATTTCCTTGTGTTTACCTCTTATGACAGATTTCTCAGCTAGTATCACACTGGCTCTGTAATAAACCGCTTCTTTTTCTTTTTGTTTCTCTGATCCTAAATTATCTTTAAGATATTTATTAATTTTATAATATTCATCCCCAGGAGAGGTATTGTTTGCGACCCCAGAAGAGGTAGTGTTCCCATCTTCAGGAGAGGTAGTGTTCTCTTCAGGAGTAGGGTTGGGGGCACGGGAAAATTTTCGGGCATGCCCCATGGGCATGCCTCTGGTTTTTTTGATTTAGAGGCATGCCCTATAGGCATGCCCCCAAAATTTTTTACGTGACAATTTTTTACATATATAAATTTTTTGAAAAAGGGCATGCCCAGGAGGCATGCCTTTCGGGCATGCCTCGTGCCCCGTGCCCCCAACCCTATTCAGGAGAGGTAGTGTTCCCATCTTCAGGAGAGGTTTTGTTAACAAATTTATCAAGTATTTTAACAAGTATCAGGATAGGCCTCGCATCAATTTCTGCTCCAAAAAATGTCACGTCATCATTCCCGGTTCTATATTCTTCAAAATAATTATCATAAATAACCTTTTCTATTGTGTAAATTCTTTTCATTGACAAATAAAATATTGCTATAGGTGTTAAAAGAATTGATCCAGGTATAAAAAATATAAACAAGAAAATTCTAAAAAAAAATCCATTCCATCCAATATTTTTAATTTTTCGAAAAAGAAGATTCTCATTCTCACTAACATCTGCACTCTCATTCTCACTATCTGCATATCCCCAATGAAAACCAGACAAAATTTCAAAGAATTCTATTAAATGTGATAGGATTATATTGATAAGCCATAATGATCCACCCACGATTATGCTTATAGCCAAGTATTGACTTAAATTTGGAATAGGAATATCGATAGGGCTAACACTAACAAAAATTGTGATAATTGCTAAAATGATTACAAGTAATGACATTAAGATAACGAACCATACACCAATTCTTCTTTCTAACCTGATAAGATAATTAATACGAGCTAAAAATTTTATATAGTTCTCATGCCTTTCTGTTTTTATATCTTTCAATTCATCATCCTTTATATCTATCACTTGAAGTGAACCTTCTTTTTCATTACCCTTTATGACTTGAATCATTTTTGTAAGGTGTTCTTTGTTTGCTGTAGCCTTATCCATAATGGCTTTTATGAGAGCTAAAACACCACCAGCAGCAGTGACACTCGACGTCGCAATTTTCAGAATCTTATTGGTAGCATTGTATTCCAAAATTATGAATAAACATATTCCAATTAATACGGTGAGTGAAGCAGCAGAGACATGTCCTAACATTAAACTTTTTCGTTTAGTTAAATTATGTCGCGCCAACTCCCATTCTTCCTTCAATCTCATAAGAATAAACTTTTTTTCTTTAAGATCTTCAGACTTAGTTTCGTTGGGTGCCATACTAAAAAGTAATGAATAAGATAAGTCTTAGTGTTGGCTGCCCTTAAATAAGACGTGATAATCTATAAATAATTTAAATTTTATATCATGAAATACGCGTTACATTTCACAAACGCTTTCCACATTACTATTATGTTCTGATTGAAATATGCATATATGTTACGTGTACTTTACGCCATATGCATGGAAGCATATAAGTAAACAACTTTTCTGTTATCTTTATGAATTTAATGTTGAAATAGTCATTCTGAAGAAAAGGGTTTTATAAGAGCACACAAAACTTATCACGTGAAACTACTATAAATTCTAAATTTTTAAGAAATCGAATATACGTATATTAAAAAATATGATAACATGTGCATACATATGCACATACATGCACACCGCTATTCTAGTCCACACTAATGGCAGGAATAGATCGGTAAATTCAAAGAAAATTTAAAAAAATAAAATGTGAAAATAAAGAAAATGAGTGTCTAAATCGACATTCAATGTTTAAATAAAAGTGTAGAAAAATGAAATTTTGCATACAAAAACATCTTTAGCTTAGTTTAACCCACTAACCTCGAATTTCTAGCTACACATATTAACGTTAAGTTTTTGTAATAATTCCCCTTTTGGTTGTGTTATACAGAGGCAAATAAGTACGCGATGGACGTGAATAAATCCAAGGTAATACGAATATCATTATGGTATGGATGACCAAATAAATCTGGGGTGCCGGTCAAAATCCCGACAAGCACAATCCCGACAGGTCATAATCCCGACAAAAAAATCCCGACAGTCAAAAA